GGATTATAAGGAATTTTTGTAGAATGAGCAATTTGAAATGAAGCACAAAATTTTTTAAAGGCAGAGGATGTATATACAGGAGTATTGTTAGTTTTAATAGCACAAGGTTTGTCTGCGTAGGCAAAACAAAACATTAGATGTTGAGAGACATCTTTAAAAGCTTTTTCTGTCCGGGCAGTAGCCATAATAACATGAGAAAATGTATTTATGGAAACATGGACAAAACTGAGTCTCCCAAAACTAGTAACATGAGTGACATTTATTTGCCAGAGATTATTTGGTTTGAGGCCTCGTGGGTTCACCCCCATCGGAAGTGAAGGGTGAGTGGTGGGGCAAACCGAGTATTTGTGAACAATTTTTTTGGCTGTTTTTTGAGTTAGATGAAATTGTTTCCGCAATGAAGCGGCATTTTGGTGATGAAGGGCATGATTATTAATTGCCTCCTGTACTGTGAATACTGTTGTTTGAGTCAACAAATTGGCCAATTTATTTCCACGAGCTAGAGGACCTGGTAATTTAGAATGACCATGAATATGGCCAACATACGCTTTGGATGTCCTAGATTTTATTAAAGTTTGTAGTTCCAATAGCTGTGGAGCAATGGTAGTTTTAGCATTAGTAATTACAGCAGTCTCAATATCAGGAAATAATCTGGTTACATATTGGGAATTAGTAAAAAGGTTAAATGGCTGATTTTGTAAAATTTTAAAAACTGTGAGAACTGTAAATAATTTAGTTTTTTGGGCGGAGGTTTTTGTTGTTTGGATGGACTCTGGTTTGTCATTGATAACGAAAGCAGCTCTACCGTTGGAGGAGCCATCCGTAAACACAAGTGCAGCAGGTTTTGGCAAAGGCACAGTGCTAACAATGGTTGGAAAAATAAAAGTTTGTTTCTTAAAGAAATGAAGCACAGGGTTGGGAGGCAAATGAAACTTTATTTTACCCGAAAAAGATTGCAGGGCTATTTGCCAGTCATTACTTAAACTAAGCAAGTTATTAAGTTGTTTTTTTTTTGTAAGGTAAAACAAGAACAGGAAATTTTCGGCCAAAAAGCTCAACGTTCCTATGTCTTTTTTTAACAATTAACGCAGCCACTTGGGAAGCATAGGGACAAACAACCTTTTTTGCAGTAACTGGTAAATGTAACCATTTTAGTGGCCCCTTTTGCCACAAAACACCTGTTGGCGTGTGTGGGGTGGCCAAAATTATGAACTCTCAAGGCTTAGTATAATCTAGCCGTAACAGTTGTTGATTGTTGAGTGTATTATTTACCTTTTGTAAGGCTAGTGTAGCCTCAGGTGTTAATTGTCTAGGGGAGTTAGGATTAGAATTACCTTTTAACACATCAAACAGAGGACGTAAATCAGCAGTGGTTAGCTGTAGATGAGTTTTTATTTAATTTATGTCTCCAAGTAGTTTTTGAAAATTATTTAATGTTTGTAAAGAGTTTGTTTGTAGTTGCAGTTTTTGTGGTGTCACAGTTAAAGAACGAACAATCTTTTTTAAATAATTGATTGGCGGAGAAGTTTGAATTTTTTTTGGTGCCACCACAAGTCCATAACTTTGCAGCAAAGCCACCAGACGGGCCAAGGCCTGATTTAACAAGTTTACTTGAGCATTACTTATTAAAATTTATATAATGAACACAGTAAATGGAAGGGTACTCATCCCTAAAGGATGACAAAACCATATTTACAAATTTTTGACATAAAGTAGGACTGTTTTTCATGCCCTGTTATTCATACCGTTGAAATGGCCTTTTTAAATTTACTGATGGGACACTAAATGCAAATTTTTTGCAGTTTTGGGGATGTAAAGGGATGGTAAAAAAGCAATCTTGTAAATTAATAACAATAACATGTTTATTTTTAGGGATGGCCACAGGTGATGGCAAACCTGGTTGCAAGCATTCCATATTTTGTATAGTGACATTTATTGTTCTTAAGTTTTGTAATAATTTTTATTTTTTTGATTTTTTTTTTTATTACAAATATGGGAGTATTCTATGGGCTGGTAGTAGGGCGAATGTGTCCTTTTATCAGTTGTTTTTGAACCAAAATTGTTACAGCCTGGATTTTATTTTCTGTCAGGGGCCATTGCTCTACCCATACTGGGTCATTATTTTTCCACACAATTGGGTCGGCTGTAACCTTCACAATGGCCCTTTTTATAAATTTGATCCATATCCCAGGCCTTGTCGTGGCTCTCTCTGAGTAACCTCAATGGGAAATACTCGGCCCTCCAACCTTTTTCCTAAACCTTGATTTGGGTTAAAGCCCATTTGTAACATTTGAGCGGTTACCTTATCATTGGGGCTAAATAGGAGCACTCCCATTTGAGAGAGTATGTCTCTTCCCCACAATGTCATAGGAAGAGATGGGACAACATAAGGTTGAAAAGTCCCGGACACCTCTTTATTATTTTAATTTAAAATTTGAGAACTTTTTGTCACATTTTGTGCTGATCCCAATCCGACCAAAGTAGAAGGCGTAGCCTTTGTGGGCCAGGCATTAGGCCAATCACGCCCTGCTATGCAAGTAACATCAGTACCAGTGTTTAACAATTTTTTAATTGTTTTTTTTTTGAATTTTTATAACTTTGGTCGGTCTATTGTCTTTAATTTGTTGGACCCAAAAAGCCATGTCACTGGATTTAAAACTGGAATTATTTTGTGGTTTATTGGATGTAATTTTATTGCCAACTGACACTAGAGGCAGTAAAAGTATTGAGCAATTTTTTGTCCTGGATGAATTTGTATAGTTTGTATTGGAGGCTTTAGTATAACTTTTATTTTACCAGTAAAATTAGAATCAACAACAACCGGTATTACTTTTATGTCTTGCAGAGATGCAGAACCTCGGCCAAAAACAAGCCCCATTGTATTTGGAGGGGGGGGCCCATACACCCCAGTTGTCAACATGGTGTAAGATTGATTAGAAGTTAATATTGTGCGGAGGTGGAATGTAAGTCCAAGCCTGCTCTGTCTGTGGCCCTGCGGACGAGATTAGAGATTGTTTGCCGCTCTGGTCGTTTAGGTTTCCAATTATTTGAGGGGCCTGGGTCGGGCCCCTTACCCAGTTTTTTGACTGTAAGATGTTTTTTGAAAAAACAGTTGGATTGGTGCCCGCAGTAAACTTTTTATTTGGTGGCAACAATGTATTATTTTTATGATATTTAGACCGACAGTTCTTCATTTAATGAAATTTTTTATTACAACGCGGGCAGATAGTTTTTGGAAGTATTATTTGAGAAGGAATTTTACTATTATTTGTTGTAACAGGCGTGTCAGACTGTTGAGGCAAGGCTGGAGGCGGCATAGAGATTACTTTGTTTGGGCAATTTTTACTATAATGCCCTGGCTGTCTGCAAGAAAAACAATTTTCAAAATTTTTGTTTATTTTTCTTTTTTTTTGTTGATCAAGGGAGGCGAACCATTGGCTGCTGGTCTGTCCCTTTAAGGCAGCCGCAATGGCCACACCATGAAGATATGAGGGTGTCACCTCCGAACAGGTTTGAACATATTTATTAATGTCGCCTGTTCGTACAATGGGTCTTAACAATGCCTGACAAGGTGGTGAAGCATTTTCAAAAGTCAGCTGTTTAGTTATAATGTGAGCCGCCTCAGCATTAGGTATAGTTTTTTGGACAGCATTCATTAACCGTGATAAAAAGTTTTGATAAGATTCCTCAGGCCCTTGTTTAATGTTAGCAAGGCCAGAGGTTTTCACTTCACCAGCCGGCAACCGGCTCCATGCAGCAACTGCAGCTTCACGCACGAGACGAAAGACTGGAGGTGGGATACGAATTTGTACATTGTTTTCACACCAATTATCTTGACCCAAAACCATTTTAAGCAGAATTTTACTATTTTTTATTTTTATTTTTTTATTATTATATTTTTTTACCATCCTCCGTGCTTTTTCCTCATAATTTGTCTTTTACAACAAATAATCTCCACCAGACAGACTAGATCTAGCTGTCATCTGTCAATCAAGTGGTGTGAGGAAGTGACTGGCCACTGATTCTACGAGTTGCAAGGTATAAGGACATGTAGTCCCGTAATCGGCAGTTGTTCTTTTTAATTTCTTTAAAAGCTCAAAGGGAAGGGGTTCCCATTGAGGCTGCTCATGGTCATTGTCTACATTGAGCACAGGAAAGCATTGAAAGGTAAAATCACCTTTTTTTTTTTGTTTGTCTCACTGCACCAGCAAAACCAGCTCTAGACATACGAACCAAATCACCAGACAACATTTGTGGCATTGACCTGGACACAGGCTCTGCGTTTTCAAAGGGGTCTGATTGTATATTTGCAGAACAAGGCTTGAGATTAGTCTTAGCTCTAGCCAAATTACTGATATATTTTTTAACAATTTTAGCCAAGTCCGGGCTGGAAATTGAATCAGATTTAGGAATAGATTCATGAAAAGGAGCCAACGCTTCAGTAGAGAGGTTAACTTTGGCTCTAGAATTAATTTTTGACTTTTGAAAAACAATTTTATCATCCAAAGAATCCGAATTACTTTTTTTTAATGCAGCTGGCCAATTTTTGTTTTATTTTTGGTTTTGTATTTTTTGTTTTGCCTCCAGCCTGGCTAAAGCAATTTATTTGTTCAGGCAATTGTTTTGTTAATGACGGGCTGTCAGCCGAGGACCCTTTAATGTCCTCCAAGGATAAGGAAGCAGTAGGCTCAGGTAGCCGTAATTTTTTGAGCTTTTTATTTATCTTTTTCAATTTAGACCCTTGATCTAGCATGTTTTGCAACAGACCCCACAATGAAAAGGCATCAATGGGGACCTTTTCTGGTCCATGGAGAGTATAATAGGATGTCATTTCCTTTCCTACTTTGGCCCAAGTTTTTGCATTCAGAGTACCATCCCTAGGAAACCAAGGACAACATATTTCAACAAAATTTAGGAAACTAGCCAATTGTGCATGAGAGATTTTAAGGCCTTTCTTTGCAAGAGTATACTTAATTATATTAATAAAGAGTCCTTTTTCCTTAGACTCAGTATGGCCCATAGCTTCTCAACGATAAGACACTCACTCGCCTTATTACGGTTCTGACTTACTGTTTCCCTCAAACCTGCTTTTTCTACAGGCGGGTATGCGCCCTACCCTATGGAGCAGATCCTAGCCGTCCCCGCTCGGGAAAGAAATTTTACCTTTCAAGTCCCTGTTTGGGCGCCACTTTCCGGGGACCAGCCTCCGGCAAAAAGTCGTGTCAGGGGTTCCTGAAAGGATGAGACGGCGTCGGCGAAAACGAAAGAACTGAAACTTAAGGGCTGAGGGGGAGGGAAATGAGGAGACACCGACACTTGGTGAGGTGTTAGTATCTTCTGCCGAGAGACTCAGCAGGTCTTTATTTATTTATTATTAGTAATAATAATAAGGAAATACATTATCATGTGTAAAGCAAAAACAATTAGTATATTATGTTTCCCATAGACTACTGGCCCCTACAGTTCTCAGCTAGATGGCAGCTTTCAAGGTTAACAGATAATAAACCAAACTTAACATTAAAGCTACTTATTTTTTCATTTAGAAAATTATTTAAAACAGTGAATAACTGCCAGTGCATCCCTATCAGCTAAAGCCTAAGCATCAAAGGACTATTCTATTCACATGACCTTCAGCCGGAGACCAGCTGCTGTTCAGCTATCAGAACTTTTTCTACCTAGAAACTCCTTAACTCAAATAGCTTCATATTAAAAAATTTCCCAAGAAACTTCAAGAGAAAACAAAATAGAAGGACCTACTATAATTATTGTATTGTAATGCTTGTCAGGTATGCTCAATAAGTTGTCTTCCATTGTCAAGTAGGCCAAATCGTTTAATAATTAGTTTCTAATTTTCCATGCCGTTTATTTGCAATATACTGATGCATATAATATAGTGCCTAATGTACTTTTTTGGAAAATTTTTTCTTATTTATGACCAAGAACAAAAAGTGAAGGAATGTTAAATATTCAGCCCCACGGTGTGAGGCACAAGGAATCTTCAGCCCCACGGTGTGAGGCCCTTTGGCTTCGGCCCCACGGTGTGAGGCCCTTTGGGCTTCGCTGCTTGCCAGTGTCTTATCTGGCCGGGGCATCAAGGCCTCCTGCAGCACATTATATTTCTATAATAGTTAAACAAAATAGACTCTTCTTAAAATGACTCTTGTGGTGGAGGGAGGAATAAAGGAGAACAATGATTAACCTGGAAATAAGGCTGAAGAGTACCAGAGAAGGAGGCCCTTGGGAAGGTGAAGATGTGGGAACCCGTGTTCATGTTGTAAAAGGACACAAGTCCAGCCTCACAGGCCAGAAAAACTCCCACCAGCAAGGGCTGCTCCTTCAATGCAAGGGGAGTTGGCGGAGAGGTAAGGGCCATGTAGCCATTCTCCTGGCAGAGTCTGATGGCCCAGAAGCCAGACTGAGGCTCTGGGGTCCTGACAATGAAACTCTGCTCATTTGCCAGACAAACTCCTATGTCCCACCCTGATCCCTCTCCCACATCCACTTCAAAGTAATGTCTTCCTGAGGTGAAGCCCTCACAGCCCAGGACACAGGGTAAGAAACAGAATCTCCTAAAACTGAGATGCTTCTCCTGGGGGCTGCCACGGGTCACTTGTCTCTGATCCTTAGACAGAATTAGTTCACAATGAGCTGTTTCTGGATCCAGAGTCACGCTGACTGATAAAAGAGAAAGACACATTTTATTTGCTGAGAAGACAGAACTTCAAATACAAATACAACCAAATATAACCATCAAATAAAACCATCCTGGATTCAAGTGCATCTCAGTTCTTTTAGCTCTGTGAGTCACTTTCTGAGGCTGCATAATATAGTAGGAAATCATCACACCTGAACAGTGATGGTGGGGAGGATTGAAGGAGCTAATGGATGCCTAGTGCTTGGAGACATTCCTTGTATTTGGTAAGTAACCAATATGTGGAAGTCATATCCTTGAGCTTATTTGAAGACATAATGGCCTTGCCATGAAATCTCTAGGGGATGCCTTCTAGAAGATGAGGACAGCATCTCTTCCATAGTCAGAAAGAAGCCAGGATCATGGGCTCTATAATCATAGGAAGTGAATTCTGCCCACTATCAGAGGCAGCTTGGAAGTGGATTATTCTCCAGTCTAGCCTCCAGAGGGGAGCACAGCCCAGCCAACACATTCATTGCACTCTGTAAGGCCCTGAGCATAAGTCCTAGCAGATGTGAGCCACACATATCTAAACCACAAACCGCTGAGATAATATGTCTGTTGTTTTAAGTGACTGAATATTCTATAACCACAGAGAATCATGTAGCTTCATTCATATATTACAGCCAAAGGAATTATTAAAACATTTAGTTTGTGGGCCTCCCCGGTGGCGCAGCGGGTGAGCGCTGGGTTGTGATGCTGCCCGAGGCCTCTGCAGTGCCAGTTCGATTCCCGGCTGCTCCCTGGCCACAGGAGGAGGGTCCCACATGGCGCGCAGACATCTCCTGCCGCCCGCTGCTCCCCTCAGCAGTGTACTTCAGTCCTTCTGCCTGCTCTGCTCCCCTCTCTGGCTCTGGTGAATTCTCTCACCCTACCGCGCTTCTGACTATACCCAGTGCATGTATAAACAAACAAACAAACAAATAAATAAATAAAATCTTAAAAAAAAAAAAACAATTTAGTTTGAATTTTCTAATTGTGGACATATGGAATATGGCAAGCACCAAATAGGAATCAAGGTTTCTGAATTGGTAATACTGGCTTTCATTAAGATTCAAATGTTTGTGGCATCATAATTCATTTTCTCCTTAGTCCTGAATACTGATCTGTCTTTCTTAAATTTCACTGAATGTTGAATGACATGTTAACAATAAACATTATGGTGCAGATTGTTCTATATACTTTACACCTGCTGTTGCATTCCATTTTCATGAAAACTCACTGAATTAAGATCTGTTCATATTCGTATTTTTCAGAATGGGAAAATGAGGTAGTGGTTGGCCTGGTTGATACAGCAAATCAACAGGAGAGGAGGAATTTGAAGAGCCTGAAGAGATAACAGCTTGCTACTTCCTTGTCTCCACCCAAGGGAGCCTGTTCCTGACCCACTGAAAACAGCTCAGCAACCTCTCTGCCTACGAGTCTGAACAGGACAGGTAGGAAGCTTGGCTACCATTAAGGGGCCTTTGCTGTGAAGGATTAGAGCAGTTATTTCCTTCACATACCTTGGTAGCGCTGTAACATTTTCTTCAAATCAAAGTAAAGCTGAGAAAAATTGCATACAGTTTGAGAGTCCAGAGAGATGACCTCTGGTATTTTCAGCTTCACATCTGAATGCCTAGAATAAACAGACAACAGACCTTCTGCAGTGGACGTTCCATTCAGCTCTGGACGCCACACATACTCACTTCCCCTTAACCATGTGTTCAGACAGACTTACCTTTTCAATGTGTCTTTCACACCCTACGGTGAAAACAAAGACAGGTGAGTGTGGGAAAATCAGTATGTCATGTCACTTGACACAGGGGGTTACTTGCTATGAGTACTCCACCCCAGGAAGCAGAGAGACTCAGGTGAGATACCCAGGCATTTGATTCCCATCCCAGTCCCCTAGGATATTCCCTGCCAGTGTGTGTGAGTGTGTGATCACACTTGCTCAGGCTTATGGGGAGTCATGGAGTCTGCATTCACAGTAGCCTGTGACCTCGGGGACTTGATCATGTTACCTTTTGCTAGAAGTGACCTAATTTCCTTCTGAAGAGCCCATATCAGAGATCACTGATGACAAAGGTCCTCAGTGGGGAATCCATTTCCAGACCCTGGTGGTGAGGCTGAGGCAGCAGGTGTCACCTGCTGAGGGTGCTGTCACACTACATCCTCATCCTCACAGTGTAACTACCAGTCCTGCAATAGCAGCTGGAGTCGAAGCACTTATGTTCAATGGCTGGAAGCTTCAGGCAGCTGAAAGCAGGTCCCATAAGAGCTTATGGACCAAGATAATATTCATCAGGAGGTTATCATTTATTTCGGCTGCCCCATTCTATTCAAGAGATGGTTAGAAAGAGTCCCACGAACAGTTGACAAGGGCAAATAAATGGCAGGAATTTTTGCTGTTGTTCTATAAAACCAGGAAACCACCACATCTATCCAGAGAAAATTTAAATTTCTGATCACATGCTGACCCTTGGACCTGCAAGGCCGCCAGCGTACATGGATATAGATTTTAAAGAATGTTTCTTTAATTTCAGTGCCACAATTAAGTGAAGTAGACAGGTCTCAGAAATCTCCCCAGGCTCCCTCATCATTCTCCACTCAATAGTCAGGAACAGATAAATCTCCTTTCTTTCCTAGAAGTTCTCAGCCTCTCTTACCTGCAGCAAATTCTGGGCTGATCCTTGACATTTCTTCTCTAATTTCAGGATAAGGTTCTCAAATTCAAAGCTCTGCTTTACCAGACTGGCTTCACCTTCCTGCAGTCTCCTCAGCAGCTGCTTTTTCTCTTTCTTTAGTCTCCTTAAATAATCCCTCTCCTCCTCATGGAGGAAGTAGTGGAGATTCCTAAACTCAGACTGGATTACTTGTCTCCGAAGCTCTATGTTCTCCTAGAATCAAGGAAGTGGGCAGAAAAGGGGGAAACAAACCAAACATACCTCTATGGTAAGTCAGTAAACACAGGAGAGACCGAGACAAAGTGCAAATCTACTCACCCACAGGAGGAAAGCAAACTTTAACACATGCCCAACTGATGTATCATGAAGATTCATAGAGAAGGACATGAGCCAAAGAGCAAAAAGGAAAGACCGTATGAGTCTTCTCATATGTGGTCCTAGTCAAATTGAGAAACAAAAGACGTAGAATGGTGGCCGCCAGGAGCTTGGAGGAAGAAGCAATGGAGTTATTGTTAATGGACATAGTTTCTGGTTTGAATGCTGGAAAAGTTCTGCAGAGGGAAAGTGGCAATGGCTGGGAACAAACTTAACACAATGCACTGGGCTGTTCAGTTAGAAATGAGTAAAATGGCAATGTCAGGTAATGTGTATTTAGCACAAAAACCCCAGAAAAGTTTTCTTAGCTTCTGTGGGTCATTTTCCTCTGGGCACTGGAGCTCAAAAAGTGTCCAGCTCCCTCTGCAGAGTCAAGTCCAAGAGGCAGACACTCAGATGTGGGAAAGTTGGTCCTAGCTCTGTTGGCACCTGCTCACTTCCCTTCATCTCATCCAAGAGATAAAAGAAGGAGAGGATAGGAGTCGCAGAATCATGAAATTTGCCAATATCAAATTTTAGGGGGAAAGGATGTCCTAAAGCTAATTCCATACAGGCTTTGTGGACTCCACCCCCAGCCCAGGCCAAAGCCAAAGACCCTGGGAACTCCAAATCCCATCACCACCAAAGGGAAGGTGGCTGGGACCTGAGGGTGGGGTTAAGCAGCCAGGTTGATATAAAGCCAGACACGTGGGCTTTGGAGGGGGTCCCCCATTTTGGTTCTCCACCAGCTCGCAGGTCCGGCCAGCTCTGAGAGTGCCTTTGGGTTTCCCGGTCAGCGGATCGGGTAGGACGCATTAAAGACTTTATTTCCCTATTTTCTCCCCAAGTTGTACATTTTCTTTATTTCCTTTTCCTTTGTAAATAAACCTTTTATTAACCTTTTGTGTGTGCCTGTAGTGGAGTATTCATAAGTCCCTTTTAAGCGCGCGGGTGAGGACCCACAGCCAGGCAACCCGTTCAATATCAGGGCTGTCCTATAACAGCAGAACTTATCATTTGTAAGAGAAAACCAAGAGTTAGTGGGGATATAAGAAGCTGTGGGGGGGAATTTCTTCAAATAAAGGTTGTAACAAATATAAATGAGCCTGAATTTAAGACTCATTTAAGACTCTATGATTTTCAACAGGTGGAGGTCTGGATAGTTACCAGAAATATTATTGCCTTAAGCCAGGACTCAGTTACCATCCTTATGGATGAAACTAAGAAAACCACTGAGAGACCCAGTTTCCTCTGGAGAGGAACAGAGTGTAATTTCCATGGGTACTTTCTCAAGTCACACAGTGCTTCAGTGACTGTGATGCTGTGGTAGATGTTGTGGCACTGACATGGTTCCTTATTTGATGTGTAGCAATAGAAGTTCTCCCCACTACCCCAGATTCCAGAAGGGAGGAGACAGAGGTAGTTGCAATGCTACAGTGACAGGGATCTCCACTTGCCAGTTCCTAGAAAGGCCCTCCAAACTCAATGAGGATTTTAAAATGAGGATAGGAGTGAAAGGTAGGGCATGGTAAAGAAAATGAGAACCAGGATAAATTTCTCAAAGGAAGGGAAAGTTTATTGAGCCCCGGACAGACCTCATGCACCCAAGGTGGGGGTCAGTGAAGCTGCGCGTGTTGTTAGAGGGAAGCAGGGTTTTATAGGGTAAGGATAGGTCAGGTGGGAAGTTGGGTTAGTAGGGCCATTAAAGTTTGTAGGACGCAAAAAGTTTTGTGGGGCAGGTAGAGTTTCTTTCTCTGAGAAGAGACTCATAGGGGGAGGGGGAAGGCTCATTGTCTGAATCCTCCAGGCAGGTATCTGCATTCTTGCCCCCCAGGTGGGCTTCCTGGTAGGCTTTTGCATTCAGGCCTCCTGCATGGACCTTTCAAGGAGGAGTTTAAATTTCACATTTGACCATCTACAAAGAATAGGACAAATGTGGGAAGATACCCTGAAAGAGGAAAATGACTCATAAATTTGATTACTAAGGCATGGATTACATCCATATTTCCATAAAAGAATGTGTCTCTGATCCTGCAGGGGCTGGTCAGCCACAGACACTGTCTTAGAGACCCACAGTCTACAGTGCAAGTGTGTAAGTTCTTGCAGAGCTCTATCCTCATCAACAGTCTTACAAGCTTGAGTTATGGGATTGTCTCCTGCACTGGTCCTCTTATTTGTATTCACTAAAGTTGATATTGGAACCAGGAATGTAGAGGGTCAGACCATGTACTGAGGTAAATGTGCCCATGTGAGTTCATGATCTTCAGACAGGAGGTAATTTCAGTCATTGAAAACTTGAAAAGTAAGGAGCACAAGATTTGTGATTCTCCTGACTGAGGTTTAGTGTAACAGGGTGGTCCCCAGGAAAGCAGGAGGTTCCAGGTTCCCTGCCCCACCCAAATGGAGAGGGGAGCTGAGCAGGAAGAGAAGAATTTGGGAATAGAAGAAGTTGCAGAGGAGACTGAGGAAGGAAGCAGGATGGAGCCATAAGGAGACCTGGAGGAGGCACATGGAGCCTAGAGACATGTGAAGAAACTACACTTGCCTTTTGGTCGAGGACTGGGTGACACAGATGTGGGTGAGACCCGTGGGGAGGTGACAATGGCAGCTTTTATCTTGATTTTGATTTTGCTCTTTTCCTTCCGGGCGTGTCTGGTTGTTTCTGACCCTTTTTTGGGGGTCCCCACTGGAAGGTGCTTTAGACTTGTGGCAGGCTTTGGGGCCTTGCTCTGGGCCAATCCCTTTTTGATGGAGTTTTACATACAAGGGGACGGGTAACTTTGGGTGCTTCATTTAGAAACTAGATTCTTTGTCTTTCCTGTATTGTTTCCTGATTGTATTAAAGTTCCTTCCCATTAAAGTCTCCTATGTTTTGTGTTGATGCGGCGGATGGCAAAATCCATTTAGAATAGGCAGGTTTGCGGGGTTTGGGCTGCCCCTCTCCCTGCACTGTAACATTAGGACACCTAGCCAATTACTATTAATAGAAATAGAAAGCAGACTAAAATTCTCCTAGATTCAGACAACAAACTGCAAATATTAAAGAAAAAGGCCTATTCTTTGGGTTTCTACAGTTTGGTCTGATTTAATGAGAATAAATCATCAATGAGTACTTTTCCCAATCACCATACCCCTAAATTCTAGACTAGAAAATAGTTTGAGATCAAGAAAATCAAATTCTTACCTCCCATTGTCTTATTTCATCTTTTTTGAACAACTTCAGACTCTTACAGAGGTCTTGCTCTCCCTTCAGTTTTGTCACAATCTCCTGGAGCTTTTCCTGAAGGAAAAATTGGGTGAGTTATGGTTTGTCCATATCATAACTCTCATTTGGTCCTAGAAGAATCCCAGCCTCCAAGATGTACAATAACGCTGAGTTTATTTTTGAGTCCCTTGGCTTTCAGAAGAAGCAACATAAGGGCATTAATGTAACTCATGCCCTCAGTGGCCCTGGGCAGTGGCAGGATTGTAACATCTCTCTGTGCTGTAGGTGATCTGTGATTTCCAGCTCATCTGCGGACCATAGACTAAGCTGTTGACATTACTGCAGTCTGCCAGGGACATGCTGCATAAAGTACAAGATTATAATCATCTAAAAGTACATTTTATAAAATAATGTGCTGGACCATTCATAAAACAGAGTGTTTGAAACACGTACAACTGTTTACATGTGACCCTGAGTCAGGTAGGAGAGCCCAGGATGGCAGCTGAAGGGACAGAACCAGTTCATGTTGGGGGGGAGCTCTGCTGTCACCTGAAGAACTGTCATGATGTCAACTTAGAGTGATTAGTTTCCATACCTATCTCTAGGGTTACCTGTCACACCTTTTCTCACATTTTCAGCCTCCATTGAGAGATGGGGAAACCATTCACGTAGACAGTACGAAGTCGCTCACAGCTTCCCATCTAGTAAGAACTGAAACTCTTACTATAGTTTGACCTCTGCAGTCTGACTCCTGAGTCCACGTCCATCACCTTTTGTTGCTTTTTTTTAACTACTTGGTGGGCAAGTTATGGGATCTGTCCCATTACAGCAAAGAGCTGATCATGGGGTTACAGGGGGAGGTGAGTGCTCTGAGGGTGCTCAGGACTGACACGCCCTGACACAGGATCCAGAACTGTCACACAAGACACAGGCACATCAAGGATGAGGGGACACAGAACCCCACACTGGGGATGTTTCCTTCAAATGTCACCAGGGCAGAGGAGGAAGGAATCCTGCTTGCTCATTCCTCCACAGCACAGGGAGCCTCACTTTAGCAGCTATTGTGTGAGAAACAGAGGAGGTGCTTAAACCTCTCAAGGCTTCATCACTCACGATTTCTAAATCCTTTAACTGTCCTTCTTAATCCTTGCTAAATGTGTTTCCATCCCCTTTTCTTAGAGGACTAACTTTGATTTTACTCCTTGATGTTTATTTTATGAACTCAGAATGTTCTTTTAAATGTCAACCTAATATTTCCCTCCACAAATAAAACCCCAACTTTGGACCAGGATTTAGTCTCTGAGAAATACCAAATTCCTTCTTAATTTCCTTTCTCATGGCCTTACCTGCCCTTCCGATCTCACGCCCCCTGACCAGGTACTAGCTAGTCAGGTAAGCTCTCGTGACACGGGTCCCCCTGAGTTGGAATCCTCACTCTTCCACACACCGTTACTTTGTATGTGTCTTTCTGGATTCAGTTCTGGGCAGTCTCCCCCTGCACCCATTCCCACCCCTTGGTGCCACCCTCACCACCCACGCCAAGGGACATCAGGTGTCCTGTGTTTCTTCCTCACTCCTTATACCGTGGGTATCTAAAAGGCTGTGGTTCTGACCGCTGGGGTTTCAGAACTTTCCTGTGCTCTTGCAAGCTGTGGTGTCCCAATTAAATATTTGAGGTGAGGCCATGAACGAGGCTGGTGTGGCAGAGAGCAAAATCTATTGTCCAGGAGAAGATCATTAAGGAAGTTCTTAGAGGAAAGGATTCTGCTCAACTTTTGAAGGTCAAAATGGACACAGGGTGGACATGTAATAAATTCAACATGGACGTGTAATAAACTATTTCAGGAAAATGATATGGTACAGATTTATTTTAGGGTCAGGATAATGGTTTTCATTCCAACTGATTGGAGTGAAATGCACAACCTGAGAGGCAGTCCTTGCTAAAGTCTCTGGCTACTCACCTTGTAGCCTGGATACACGTCCTCCACTAGAGCCGTGCGGTGTCCTCTGTGCTGGGGGGAGCGCTCACAGAGCAAGCAGATGGGCTGCCCGTCGTCCTCACAGAACAGGTGGAGCCGCTCCCCGTGCTCCTCACACAGCCTCTCACGGTCAATCTCCTTGAGAGTTTGAATGAGGTTTTCTAGTTGCTTGTTGGATCGGAGACTCTCCCTTTGAAATGGTATCTGGCACAGGGGACATTGGGACTCCCTCTGGGATGACGTCCCTTGTACGTTCTGAAGGATTCCCTCTATGCACCGGCGGCAGAAGCTGTGCCCACAGTGGATGCTCACGGGCTCTGTCATCACCTCCAAGCAGATGGAGCACGTGGCTTCCTCCCTCATCTTCTTGGTAGCTGTGGCTGAGGCCATGGCCCTTCCTGAAAAGCTCAAATATCAGGTTAGAGGCAGAGATGAAGTTGACAGGATTTTCCAGAGTGAAGGACAGAAGCCTCACCTGAACCTCTGCGCCTGCACAGGTGTGGAAGACTTCTCCCTGGAGAGAGAAATGGATGCGATTTGAAAGATGTCTCGCCTGTTCCTCTGTGGTAGAATAGGGTGATCCCAGTCATATTTGCCCACTTCAGTTTAGATTAAAATTCAGTCACATTTAAATTCAGTGTTTCAGTCTCACCAGCCATGATTAAATGCTTCACATCTGAGAATGGTCCCAGGATATCCAAGCACAGAATATTCATCACGGGAGACAGTGACAGTGCTCAGGTACTAACAGAGCTAGAGAAGGAAAGAGGGGGCTCCCAAAAGTCTCAGGAGAGAAGAGAACTCAGGGAGGGAGAGCAAAACTCTCTTCATGTCTAATGAGCTTCGGGAGGAGTCGGCTCTGATTTACTTCTTTGTACTGCTAGCAACACTGAGGTGAATGGTTGGGGAGCAGTGTCCATGGGAACAATGCCCTTGACTCTCCCCATATACCCATGTAGGGTTCTGTGGACCCCACAAAGTAAAAGGGGCTCCAGGTTATTCAAGTTCCCATGGAGCCCACACTGAGGCAGGGGAACTAGAGAGAGTGGTAGAGAAGGTGTTGGTGCTGGAGCAGAGACCCTGGGCACAAGGGAGGTGACTGTCTCCCTCCAGGGGAGGACAGGTCTCCCAGGACAAGGTCAGTGCTGCACCTCCCCCTGCAGTGACCTTTAGGGCTAATGGCTTTCGCCAAGGTCCCTAGGTCTGGCTGGGCAAGGAACCAGCATGCAGGAGGAGAACAGCAAAACTCCCTAAAGCAGGGGAGTACAGCAAAGTTCCCTGAAGACATGGATAAGACAGAAGCTTATCAAAGGATTACGACCACCAGGAGCTAAAACCTTATCTTGTCTTTCTAGAACTACAAACTTTATCCCTTTATTGTCTTTCTAAACTTCCTTCTTTCTTCTATAAAGGTCATTTTTTGTTAATTAAAAAATCATATGAAATCCTTAACACAAGGCTGACTCAAATGAAACGTTACTAAACCCTGTAATAATTAAAATATAGTTTAGGTGAAAAAAGTAGTTAGTAAAACAAAAAATGCGATCATATAATTTAAAAACAAAACTAATGGATTTTCTACATAAGAATGAGGCTAGGTCCAAATGTAAACCACTCAGCGATAAGCTAAATCCATTCACTGCTCCTGTATATATACTGGCGACTAACTTAAATGAAATTGCACTCAGATTTACACTCTCTCTTGAAGTGTGTCTGTTTGTCATTTCTTCAGTCTAATCCCTGACCACCCTGCACGTTTCTTTCAACCCTGAGACAGCCTCATCGTCTACTGCTGTGCTGGTCCGCGGCAGTCAGGATGCCTGAGGCAGAGGGAATTTGCAGAACCAGGATGTGGGGAGGCAGGAAGCAGAGGGCAAGACCAGACCATTGTGGGCTCCTGTCCTGGACCCCCCAGTGTCCACCAGTGAGGACTGAGAGTTGGAGACAGAGCAGCAGGGACCAGAGCAGAGGGTCTGCCCTTCCCCACAGCGGCAGCTGCTCAGGCTCCCAGCCCTGCTGCCCTCCCCTTGCCTGGAGTATGTGGGGAGGTGCTGAGGGAGGAAGTGAGAGACCTTTCCTTTGCACTCACGGGGCCTGGACCAAAAGCAGATTCAACCCAAGGAACTGGATGGATTATTTCCCCCTATTTTCAGGACTAGCCCTTGGAGCAGGAGCACGTCTCTGCAGACTGCCCTCCCACGGAGGAGAATTCTCCCAGGGGCTGCACCAGCCTTCCTTAGGCCTGGGGTTGTGCTCCTTGGGATGCCCTTCCTCTGAACCCCAATTGCCTACCCTTCACTCCCATCACACCCTGATCTGAGACATGAAATGGAGTCTTGAAAGAGAAAGCAGAGTGGGAGAGAGCTTGAAAGCAAGTCCCGAGTAATTTGACTTGGCTGAGATCCTTTTATTGCCTCCCACCACACACACACAGACATCACAGAACACCCCAGAGCAAACCTTGGCCTGGACTTTGCACTCCTCCTCACAGGGCAGTCAGTCACAAAATCTCTGCCAGTCCCTCTGCAGCTCCACTTCCGGATTCCTGGAAGGGAAGTTCCTCTGACTAGAGTCAACTCAGAAATGAAACTGATGTGGGGGCGGGTCCAGACATATGAGGGAGGAGACTTGTCAAAATGCCAGAAGTGTTACCCTCAGGAATCCTGCCTGGAGGGTCTGGTAGGAAGAGCACCCTTCCTTCAGAGCAACAACAGAGGGAACAAATTATAATGTCATCATGACTTGACACAGCGCGTGGGGCAGGCCCCTCATGGGGAAGGGAGAGGCCCCTCTTGAAGCATCAGATGCACAGAGAGACGTCCCAGTTCCCATGATGACTTCTGGCATCTCCCTCCACCGTCACTGTCGTGGATGAGACTCTGCACCTGGCACAGCTCATCCCGAGTTTTCTTGTCAAAGGGCCAGGAAAGGAGATGAGGGACCCCAGAGGGGATTAACCACCCCACACAGCAGCAGCCAGACAAAGTCAAGCTCATGACTGGGTCTGTCCTGTGACCTCTGCCCCCCTGGCACCTGTTTTGTGAAGGAGGGGATCATGCAGAGCTCAGGGCTGAGAGGGGTGGGATGCAAGGAGGCTTCAGAGACATGTCCCCTAACTGGGGAGATTCCAGTGCTTCAGGTGATGTGTGTGATGTGGTGAGAAAACAAGGCTAACAGTGGGAGCAGAACCTGGGGGTGCTTAACTGTTTATGGGGAGTCTAGGATGTTGGATCTGTTCATTCTCTCTCTCTCTGTCCTTTCTCTGTCTCTCAGCATAGATGATCCTTTCAGTTGAGCTTGCTCTGATGTACGATGAAGCTGACACATGGTAATTTTTCTTCACTGGCCCTGAAACAGCTGGGAATTTATTAAACACCAACCTTGGGTCTGGCCCTAGCCCAGAGCTCCCTGTGTGTTAATATAATCCTCCTTAATACAATTTCTGGAGTTTAAAACACGGTAATATGAATAAAAATTTTCTAAGGAGCTCATAACTAATTTGAGCAGGCAGAAGAGTATGGTCCTCCCAGTTTGAGGAAAAGAAAGAAGAAAATGTAAAGAGAAAGGAATAGTGCTGCAGAGACATGGGGGATACCATCAGATATACCTTTTTACCTAGAATGACACTCACACAAGAAGAGCACAGGGTGAAAAATAAACAGCACACTCTAAATTATCAATGGATGAAAGAGAATATGACAAGGAAAGTTAGAAATATGGAGGCTTTGACATGAGTGAAGATGAAAGTCAGCACACGAAACCTTAAGGGCTGCCGTCACAGCAGGGCCTAGGAGATGACAGATGTAAAAGCCACTATCATAGTTTAAAGCTGTTAAGTCACTAGCTTTGCCTTCTTGTTCAAGGGCAGAAAGAGCAAATGAAAACCAAAGCAAGCAGAAGGACACCGTTGGCCATGAGATGGGGGTTCATGAAGAACAGGAAATCACTGTCAACAAAGGTTCGTCCTTTTAGAAAGACTAACAATTCAAGAAATCTTTTAGCTGCAATAACCAATGACAATACAGTAAGACAGAAATTACTGAATGGTTCTAACTACTGAGAGTGGCACAACAGCTTATCTGCAAGCAAAAGAATGAATATGGAGACTTGCATCATGTCATATACAACACTCAGAATGAATCACAGATCTAAATGTAATAACAGAAATGGTTAAAACCTTTTGAGAGAAAGACAGGGAATAACCCTTGTTACATTGGGTTTTCGAAGGTTATTTGCATTTGCTGCTGCACAGCAAAACACTGTGTAAGGCCTAAGTAGATGACCTAGCATGTGAACCACACAAAAATGAACTACAAACCTGTGAGCTAATGTGTGTTGTTTTAAGTGAAAAATATCTTTATAGCAATGCAGGATGACTATGGCCACCAAAACAATTCAGGTTCACTCTGATTTTACAGCCAAAAGAATTATTAAAATATATTGAGTGTGAATCTCTTAATTGTGGACATATGGATAATGACAAATACTAAGTAAGAATCAAGGGATTGGGGCCTCCCTGGTGGCGCAGGCGGTTGAGCACAGCACTGTGAAGCTGTCTGCAGCCTCTGACATGCCGGTTCAATCCCTGCTGGCCTCGGAGCAGTGCACATGGTGAGCAGACCTCTCCTGTCTCTCCTGCTGCTCCCTTCAGCAGTGTATTTCGTCACTCTGCCTGTTCTGCTCCCCTTTCTGTCTCTGGTGAATCCTTTCACCCTCTGGTGCATCTGGCCTATACCCCAGTTCTTGTATAAATAAATCAATCTTAAAAAAAAAAGAAAAGATAATGACTGCCATTGTGACTGCCAAGGAGGAGGAGCAGCCTCACAGGAATCTGTCACCAGATGTGTCTTTCAGGCACCTCCCCTCCAAGTCCATGGAGCAAGTTGAAGGGGTAGAAGAAAGAGGGAGAGGGGCCGCCTGCTTCTGTGTGATACAGACCCAGGGGGCCACTCAGCATCCCTAGATCCCAGTAGTGCATCTTGTTAGGAAGTCTGGTTTGGGGGCTACTGGGACTTGTCATCCAAGGGGGCTCATCTGAGCAGGGGCAGGGAGAAGAGAGCTTCCCCTGCACACACGTGCATCTGTAACTTTAGCACAAAGGACTATTGGGCGCCAGTGGAACACTTACATCACAGCACATGTACAAACGCTTTCTCCCTCATCTCTCTTTTATTAGGTGACCGTGTAAGGCCCTCCCTGCAGAACCTATGACGAGTAAAGGAAAAAACTTTCTTGCCTCTGCTACACAGGAAACCCCAGTGTTGTTTGTTGTTCCCGGAGGCCCAGTGTCCGGACCCGCTTCTGGAGTCTCAGAGCACTGGATAGTGAGAGACCCCACCTTCCCACTCTGGACGCAGTCGGACTCTCCCCGAGCTCATCGCCCCTCTAGGGTCCTACAGGCCTGACTTAGGGATGGTCTCCCTCCTCCGGGCAGGCCATGTATAAAGTGCTCATAGGAAATGATGTTCCCATCAGCATTTAGATTCTGAATAAGAAAAAATATTGATAATCGTTCAGATAAGGAAGTTAAAAACTAATAATTTTTTCAAACTGTAACATAAAATAGAGGGAAAATTAGAAAGTGTTTTGCAATATCTCATCAGTCATTAATTCCCTTCCTGTACCTTTATTTCCTGTGCCTTAGTTTCCACTGATAGGAGTTTAACTTGGAACTTTAAAAACTCATTGAGGTGTCTACACAATTTTGAATATATTTAAATCAGTTATAATAACTACCTGTAAACCTTTCTTTATAACTGGTGTGTCGATGCTGGTCAATTTTGATTGATTGATTCTTGTCTGTTTGATTGATTCTTGTCTCATACCATGTAACTCCCTTAAATAATGGACACTCTATTCTAGGAATGAAATTTTTTTCAGGATATATTTTGTCAAATAAAATTCACTGCTTCATAATGCTGTAGTGGTTTTAGCGTATTCATGAAGTTGCACAAACGTTACTGCTGTTTAAATTCCAAAACATTTTCATCTCCTCAAACACACATCTCAGATCCTTAAACAAGAAATTGCCTGCCCCCATCAGTCAGAAGCTGATGAGGACTAAGATACTGTTTCTCTCTCTGAGATTCTCTGTTTTAAGCATTTAACAAAAAGGATCATACAAAATGTGCCTTCTTTCAAGTAGAGTAATGTTCTCAATGCTCAACCATGTTGGAGCATGAAGCATTATTTGAGTGTTTCTTATGGATGAGTAATATTCCATTGTGCGGATTTCAAACATTGCATGTGTCCATTCCCAATGGATGGACATTTGTGTTGTTACTGCTTCTGGTAGCATTAATCTTCTGTAGTCATTGGATTGTCTTGGAAACCTTGTCAAAATTCTTTGACTTTCAATGTGTGGATTTATTTCTGGACTCTGCCATATTTCATTGCTATGTATGTCTATCCTTACACTAACACCTCACATTCCTGACTTCATAGTGCTGTTGTATTTTCTGAAAAAGGAAAATGTGAGTCTTGCAACATTGATCTACTTTGTGAAGATAGCTTTGGCTCTCCTGGGCCCTTTCATTTCAGATGGATTTTTGGACAAATTTGCCAATAATGCAAAATCAAAAATCAAAAATCAAACCAACCTACAACATACCATCTCCCAACTACCTTCAGCTCTGGCATAATTCATCTGCCCAAGTGGTAAAACTGGGTCCATTCTGCAACCCTTCACTTTCTTACAACACAGCCCCATTAGCATGACTGGGAGACCTTTTGTTGCTGGGGGTGCTGCTGATAGTAGGAATTATTCTCTTTACTTTAGTGGTTGCACCTGCTATCTCTACCTCATTTACCGCTTCTTGGTAAGATGAAACAGAAGTCTTCAATGTCAGTGAACACAGACTTTATGTATGAACTGCACATTATCGTAACTTTAAACAATTTGCAGCGCGAGTTTGATCCCCAGCCAGGGAGATACCCACATGGCGCAGTAGACCTCTCCTGACTTGTCAGCTGCTCCCCTCAGCGGTGTATTTCTGTCAGTCTGCCTGTATGCATAAGTAAATAAATGTTTAAAAAAAAAACATCAGGTATTCATACCAGATGGTCTCACTCATAACAGGAATTTAGAAAACCTATTAAGGGACCAGGAAAAAGACTAATTATAATAAAGTAAAAATCAAAATCAACAAGCAACTGTAAATCACAGACATACTATGGTTGGTGGGAGGAGGAGGAATTAGGGTCTAAATAAGGGGGGTGGGAATTGTATGTGACTATAACCAAGATGAAAATGCATACATTGTGCAAAAATGAAAGATTATGTAAGAAATATATAAAACAAAAAAATAATAATAAAAGTTATTCAGTATATTACCCTGCACTGGTTTTGTTCATTCTTGAGCACTGTGTCACAGAAGAGATTCTTGAGTCATTATTTCATCACTTCTTTCTATTGCTGCAAGCTGGATACAAAACACATGGGAGCGTCACAGAGTTCCTCCCCAGGGCCAGGACTCTGACCCCATGTTCATTACATTTATAAATTTGCAGTTCGTTGACTTCCTCCACAGCAGCGAGTAGCAGTGGCGACAAAGGGACTGGCTGGCA